CTGTCATAATGCACAAGATTCTTAGTAATATTGATAGCTGCTTTAATGTCACAAAAACATCTGTTTAGGCTTATTGGAGGTGCATCCGAGTTCCCTTAACGATTTCTGAATCCAGTTCCCTTCATATTTCCAGGACAGGTGTCCTATACTCTAATTCTGCACTGTTTCTAGTAACAACAACTTAATTCTTGCTTCTTCTTGTAACCAGATTTCTCAATACATATGTGCAGTAACCAGTGGTAGACCTTCTGTAGGTGAGTTTTCCAGCCCAATTAGTATCAGTGTAGACTTCCACATCCCTGTTTCTGTTTTTCTCTTAAATTAATCCATAACCAGGAGCCTTTTTAAGAAACCTCAGAATCCTGTATACCATCTCCAATTGCTTTTTATTGGCGCTATTTATGTGTTGGCTCATAATACTAACGTAGTGTAATGTTTGGCTTTTCATGTGACAAATAGATGATTTTTTTCTACCAATCTTTGGTATCTTTGCTTATCCACATATATATTATTTTCTTTCATGTTAGACTTCTTGTTGGATTTCATTGGAGTATCAACAAGTTTGCATCCAATCATCCCTATTTTCTTTAGTAGATCTTGGATGTATTTTCTCTGTGATATAACAATGTCTTTCATGGATCTTGCTGCCTCCACAAATTATCTCATGTTTCTTAGGTTCTTGATTTAAAACTCAGCGACAAGCATGTTTATTATTTTAAGAATTTCTCTTCATAATCCACACCATGAATCATATCATCCACATATATAATCAGTGCAATAATTTTCTCTCTAAGTATGTTTTATAAAAAATGTGTGATCAACTTGACTTTGAGAATATCTTTTAGATTTTATAGTTTTAGAAAATATTTTAAAACACACACTTGGTATTGCTTAAGCCCATAATGAGACTTCATGAGTTTGCATGCTAAGTGTTTGTTAGAATCATTCTCAAGTTCTGATGGCATCTTCATGCACACTTTTTTTTCAGATCCTTATTCTGGAACACATTTGTTATGTCAAGTTGAAGCAGTCCTCATTTTTTTTCACTGCTACTAAAAGAAGATCTTTGATAGTATTCAGTTTGACAACTGGTGCGAAGGTGTTATGATAGTTAATTCCATAGGTTTGCGTGAAACTTTTTGTAACAAGTTTGATTTTAAATCTCTCAATATTCCCTTCAACTTTGTATTTGATGTTAAACACCCACTTGCATCCAGCTGATTTCTTATTCCGAGGGAGTTCAGTAAGAATCCATGTGCCATTATGTTGTAATGCTCGAGTCTCTTCTTCCGCTACTTTCTTCCATTCTATATTTTCGAAAGCTCAATTAATGGATTTAGGAATCTGCACACTATCAAGGCTAGATATAAACGCTTTATAGCTTGAGGGTAGCTTCTCATAAGCTACATACTTCTGAATTGAGTATCTAGTACAACTTTTCTTGTCATCGACACCAAAAGAGAAAGGAGATAACTCATGAGTATTTGACTCTTCACCCAAAATTTTAGGTAAATGTAGGCACGGGTTTTGGTTGAAACAATTCTCATTTTGATAGTTGTGTTCCACCTGCCAAGATTTTTCTTCCTCCTAGTGTACACATGAAGTTCTTTGTTGTGGATTTCAGGTTGGGTTGATTGGATATTCTCAACAAGAGTATGAGAGTCAGGTGGAAGAAGAGTAGGAAGAAGGGTAGGTGTAGGTGTCATCAAGTGGACTCCAATATTGATGTTAATTTGCGCTCTCCCCCTGAACCTTAGATTTGGAATAGCAGGATTGAGTTTAAAAAAATGTGACATTCTTGGATTTGTTTTATTTTCCTGTAACAGGAGAGTAAAACTTATTCTCCTTTTTCTTTGAAGCATGGCCAAGAAAAATACACATAAATTTTTGTTCAAGTTTTGTACAGATTGATTGCTGAATGTGGATAATAGAGACAACTAAAAAACTTTAGAGGAAAGTGAGATGGGAGGCTCTAACATGAGGGGTTTTTTCATTAAAACATGGAGGGTGAATTCAAAAATCCTGCTTGACATTCTATTAATGAGGTAGGTGATTGTGAGCACAACATCTCTTAAAAAACTTGTTAGGATATTGTGAGAAATATTATAGACCTAGATACCTCAAGGAGATATTTATCTTCCTCTCAATTATCCTATTTTATTGTGGAGTCTCAACAGGAACTCATATGGATAATATTATTCTTTTTAAGGAAGAGTTCAAGGCTAGAGTTGAAGTATTCTTTTGCACTATCAGTTTTGAGAATGCAATTTTGCATTGGAACTAAGTGTAAATTTTGTCATAGAATAACTTAAAAATTTGCTTAGTTTCAAATTTCTTTTTCATGAGAAATATCCAACTTGTTCTAGTGTTATTATCAATGTAGGATACAAACCATCTGTGTCCATTGATGGTTTTTCAATTTTGAAGGTCCCTAAATTTCACTATGGTTGATAGAAAATCGATTTGAGGGTTTGTACCAAGACATTTGATATACATGATGGGTATTACCCAAAAGATAGGGGTACAACTTCGCAATATAAGAAAAATTGGGATGACCCAAAACTTAAGACCATAATAATTTTTGACTTTCAACTGACTCTGATATGACAGACTCGAGATCATGGCAAGAGGATAGTGGAGAACAAACTTATGTGTTAAGGGAATAGTTCTCCTCCAGCAGGTATAGACATTGATGTATTCCATCACTGTCAATCACCTTTTTCGAATCCACTACCGAAATTTACAAGAGTTATAATGAAATTTAGTATCACAGTTCAAATCATGGGTAAGCTTGCTAATTGAAAGTAAGTTGCAATCTAGTTAGAGAACATATAGCATTGATGTAAGTTGAATATTTTTTGAGTTTTCACATCTCCTTTCCTAGCAATCCGGGAGTGAGATCCATCGACAAGCCTACTAAATTTTGGGTTGGTGATCTCTTGGTAGTTGATGAAAGCTTGAATTTCTCAATCATGTGATTGGAAACACCTAAATTTTTTATCCACAGTCAAAATCTTCCATTTTAAGCAAGATAGGAGGATATGGCACCTTGGTGTATCATTAAAATGGTAGGCTTCGGAGTAGAATTTGACGTCTTCATTTGATACTTGGTATAAACTCTTTTCACTTTTAGGGTTGGAAACATTCTGAGTTGTTGCAAGCTGCATGATTTCTTGGTGCTTCTTACCGTAGAAGAGGAGTGCTTGGAAACCTGCAGAGAGCTTTGGAAGAAGTCTGCAGGCTACTCTACTTGCTGCCTAAACCTGCAGCTACTCTGGCTGCAAGGAGACGTCCGACATGGAGATGGAGCATCAAGATCTGCTGCAACGACCTTCTAGAGAAACAACTAGAGAAAAGACACAGGAGGGTCTGCAAGGAGTTCTACGGCTTCCCTGGATTCTCACAGCTTGCAAGGAAAATTCTGGCATTGACGATTACAGGGATAATTCTGATGTTGATTGCTGCAGGGAGAAACTTTGGAGAAGGGTCTGTTTCAGAGAAAGCTCCGGTGGATGGCTTACTGTAGGGAGAAACTCTGGCAAGGGACCTATAGGTTGACATGTGGCTGCAGGAAGGATTTCGACGGCTGCATGGAAGATTTCGGTTGTTGCTGTCACCGCCGCTGTTGTCGTCGTTGCTGTTCTCATCGCCACCACTGTTGCTTGCTACCACTACTTTTGATGTTGCTGCAGGGAGAAGCTTCAGAGGAGGGCCTGCTTCAGAGAAAGCTCCAGTGGATGGCCTTCTATAGGGAGAAGCTCTGGCAAGGGATCTATAGGTTGACATGTGGCTGTAGGAAGGATTTCAGCGGCTACATGGAAGATTTCAGTTGTTACTGTCGCTGTTGTCATTGCCGCCGCTGCTGTTTGCTACCACTACTTTTGATGTTGTTGCTGCTGTTGTTGTTGCTATTGCTGCTGAATAATTCTATTGGAGGAAGACCTGCAGAGAAGGGTTTCCTGCTGTATGGTAGGATTTCTTGCTCCAATGAAGGGTTTTTGGTAAACGGGCCTACAAAGAAACAATAGGAGATTTTTGACTGAGAAAACCAGAGATTTCAGGCCAGGAAGAATAGAAAAGATTTTATGTCAGAAGACCAAAGGAAATTTCTCGCTGGGAAGCAAGGATTTTTTGCAGGGAAGACCAGAGGAGATTTTCTGTCCGGAAGATAGGAGGAGACTTCCTGTGGGGATGACTAGAGGAGATAGCCGGGAAGCTTGGAAAGAACGGATTTCCGGTTGGCTTGCAAGCTGGTAGAGGGATTGGAGGGTTTTCAATGACAAAAAAGCTAGGATTTTTATCGAGGGCTCTGATACCATTTGGAAATTACTTGGATAAAATTGCTTGATCTTCTTATTCACATATAGGGTACATATATATAGAGAATCCAATTCCGCCTAATTTACAAACTTACTAAATACAAATAGTTTTGAAATAAAAAATAAAGAAACATAAATTGGAATGAAATAAACACAAATTAAGATGTTTGCAAATTGGTCTCTAATCAAATCTCCCATAAAAGCCGGCCGGTCCATACTAGGAAAACCACCTGAAACTTCTCAGGTTTCTACATCAAATAACATTCAAAACATAATCGGACAAGATTTGATCACTATTTGCAAATAGTCCTAACATGTCGTAGAAGATTCTTATAAGTTTCCAGATGATGCAAAAAAGTGAATCACACCAATCATAACACAATAAATATTGAGGTTGCATGGGTTTGGAGGGTGTGAATGGTTGATCTCATTGAGGGACAGCTTATTTGAATATCTTTATGATTACTGACTTCGTGATTAGCTGTTATTAAAATGTTGGGTTTTCATTGGGTTCAAATTTATCTTAGGTATTGTTATCCCATTGTTTATTTGGTACAAGTATCTGAAGTCTTTTGTTTCTAAAACTGCTTTGGAAACTGTCAAGCAATTTACTTGAAAAGTAGAGTACTTTTTCTGATTTTATGCCCTTATTCTCATGGTTGAACTTAAAATATTAGACAGTGGCGCTATTGTTGGCGCTGATTTGCCAGGTCAAACAATTATTGGATGCAACAATGTCATTGGATATCATGCAGTCGTTGGGGTGAAGTGCCAGGATTTGAAATACAAGGTTGGTTGTCAATCAGTCATTACGCCTAGGAAATTAAAGAGAATAAATCAATTTTTTCTGTTTTTCTCTTTTAGGTTTCTCATTCTGTTTCATTTGGATTGGGAAAACCTTTTGGCATTTCCTTTTTAATTCCTGAATCATATTTCTGTAACCATGTTTTTTTCTCAAAAATAAAGTAATATTTAACAATTTTATAGAAATTTCTTTCTGCAAACTGTATTTTTTATTAGTATGCCATTCAAAGTCTTAACTTTTCAAACCCTCCAATGAACTTCCTAATCTGCAAAGTGGACTGGGAGCATCAATATTTTGTTTTTGTTGCCTAAATTATGGCAGCTTCTAAGACTTGTGGCACCTAAAATTTTATCATGGAGGTCCCTGTTTAATTCTAATAGCTTGGAGGGCTTTGGATCAGAACAGGAAGGAGTAAAAGCATGTTGAGTGATGAAAGGTTTATGGTGGATCTCCTTCTTGATCTTTCTCTTCTTTCTACTATAGGTTGGATGTGAGATTAAAGTGGTAAGGGAGAGTAAGGCAGGTTGAAGCAATGTCTTAGTTACAAGTAGAAACAGAGAAATACATTGGGAATAATATCCAAAGAGTGGATTTTCTGGAATCATGCATTGATATGAGAGAGAAGAATGAGAAACTATAGGGGG